CCCCCCGGGGGGGGGGGGTCCTTTGAACAAACTCAGTCGTCGCCCAAATTTTGATATGTTGAAGGCATCATCAAGACTAATACGGCTTTGTTACTTTCTGTTGAAGATTCTCTAACAGCCTAAAGTACTTTTAGATGGTACCAGAGCCAGACCCAATTCTATTTCCAGTTCCCCAATGTTAGGTTCCCATGTTATATTGTCTACACACCAGATGTCAAGTCCTGCGCATGCGGGGGTGTGTTAAGTGTTCCAACTTGGCTGAGGGAATCAATTGCTTTCTATTTATATGGTCTTTGGCGATCCCTCACCTCACAAGCTAGCTTTTTGGGTTGAGTTAGGCTCAGGATCCATTTTCTTAACATGGTATTACAACCGGACTCATCTCTATTCTTGGTTTCCCAATGTTATAGGCCCCTACATTATATTGTCCACACACTAAATGTCAAGTCGTTGACGTGCGAAGTGTCCCCCATTGGTAGAGGGGAACTGCTGTCTCCTTATATGGTCTTGGGTAAACCTCACCTCATGAGGTACCTTTTGGGGGTAAGTTAGGCCCATGGTTCATTTTCTTAACACCTCCGTTCATACTAAGAACAATGACCCATTTTCCAACCAACAATCAGTGCAAAGAAAATTCTGATTTGACTTATCAAAAGAACGGCAGAAAGAAATATATCATTGGATTCTCTATCAAAAGAACAGCAGAAAGAAAAATATTATTTTTTATAAGAACCTTCATGCAAGCTGCATGAACTGAAATATAAATCTGAAAGGCACTTTTCAAAAATAAATAACAAGTTGGTAGGAACAGCAACAGCTGTACATAAACATGAAAAAATGCTTCAGCAGAAGGCACACGGAAATAATAGATGCCTACAACAATGTGAAAGGCATCACTATTTCTTTATCCTTTTCTTCTTTTTGTTTCTGCTCATGTATGTCTTACTCAGAATAGAGCATTGAGGTCAATAAAGACAAGGAACGATGCACCTTGCTTACAGATGGTCCAGAGAAAAAAATTGAGTATCCAATAACAATGACAAATAGGAAATGGCTTGGCCAAAAGCAACATGGAAATTAAAAGCAGACAAATCTAATAGCCCGTTTGGCTAAGCTGCAAAAATCAACTTATTTTGAGAAGTGCTTTTTTTCAAAAGTGCTTTTCTCAAAAGTACTTTTGGTGAGAAGCAGTTTGTGTTTGGCTAATTAGTTTGAAAAACACTTCTAAGCAGCAATTAGTATTTGGCCAAGCTTTAAAAAAACTGCTTCTAAGTGTATTTTTCTCAAAAGTGCTTCTCAAAAAAGTGCTTTTGGAGAGAAGCTACTTTTTTCTGCTTCTCCAAAACTGCTTTTGCTTCTCCTCAAAAGCACTTTTTTTTCCTTCCAAAAAGCTTGGCCAAACACCTAGATTTTTGGCCAAAAGTGCTTTTGGCAAAAAAAAAAAAAAAAAAAAACTTTTGGCCAAAAAGAAGCTTGGCCAAACAGGTTATAAGGCATAGAGCAGCTCACGAGAAAAAAAAATGTTGTAAATTATCTTCAAAAAGGTATCGTAGATCTCCTAACTCATTGCTGCAGTTTATATAGCTGGCTAATACTGTTAAACAAAAGTTAAGCAAATTGAGGTGTGACATCAGTTAAAACACACAAACAACGTGTTCTGTTAATTGGAACAATAATGTGCAACCACAAGAATGTTGTAGTTTCATCAGTTAACTTAGCAGCGAGCAAATCATAACTATGAAATGATCATTCTTACTTCACTTTACCTAGTTAACATGCGATAAGGCTCTCGAAGATCTTTGGTTACAAGATCATCGATCAGCGTCCCTATAAAACTACTTTCTCTCTCAAGAACAATAAGTTGCTTTCCATCTGAGTGTCTAGCTGCATTAATTCCAGATATAATCCCCTACCATCAGAAGAAAATAACCAAAAGAGGCTTAGAAGAGCTTATCAGATAATCATGACGCCCTAGTTAAAAAGCAGGAACTAGTAAACATTCTTACATCTATTGGATATATAGATCAAATACATAAACTGAAGTGAGCATCATCGAAGTATAAAAACCTGTGCAGCAGCTTCTTCATAGCCAGTTGTCCCATTTATCTGGCCAGAAAAGAAAAGGCCCTCTATCTTTTTAGTCATTATGGACCTGGAGCACTGATAAGCCGGCAAGTAATCATACTCTACCGCATAGGCTGGCCTGAGCATTGTACAGTTCTCAAGTCCGGGTAATGTTCGTAAAAGAGGCAATTGTAGTCTCTCCGGTAAACCCGTAGAGAATCCCTACAAAAGAACAGATCATTACACTGTGCAAATGGCAAAGGATCTTTACACAGCAATAAAGTGATATATAGCATTATCTATTTCCATGAGAGAGGGAATTAAGGAAACGAAATTTAACTTTAAGAAATTAGCCAGCAGAGAGCTTTAGAGAAAGTAGGGTACTGCATATTTTCCTCAACACATCTCCATCGGTTCTCGGAAATGACCAAGTCATAGCAAATTGAAACTAATTTCATGGTTATCGCTAACTGGCATAACCTTAGCACACTACACCAGAAATAGGTAACAGACTTGAACTCAAATGTTTTAAAAAGTGAAACGCACAAAAAGCCGGCAAACCTGCACATAGAGCTCAGGAACACTTCGACCCTCAGGTTCAAGGAATATTTGATGCGACTCTTTATCTTGAAATCTTACAATCTGAAATAGTCAAAAAGATAATCATATTTCACGTGGCAGAAATCAAAAGAAAACAAGAACAGATAAATTCTCCAATCTGGAGCCACGATATTTAATTGAGTGCATTAGTTACTAAACTCACGTCAATTAACACTGATCATAGCAAACTTTGTAACAAGCAAGGAATTACCCTCCACTCACTAGAATAACTATTAATACCATTAGCAGACTCTATTATCAGAGGGAATTAAATCTTCCCGCCACCTACTTTCTTTTCCCTCCAATAGCATAAGGGGTTTTCAAGTCAAGTCACATAATAACTACTAAGAAATTTCAGTAGTATCTGTGAGAATGCACGGGAGGAAAATCTATTTATTAACAATAATACAATGAGCCCTATACATAATACATATTCTACTCCTACTACATATGGGACTAGGACATATTCTACTCCTACTACATATATAGGACTAGGATTATTAACACATAACTATCTAACACTCCCCTCAAGCCGGTGCATACAAATTATATGTACCGACTTGTTACATATGTAACTAATACGAGGACCAGTGAGGGACTTGGTGAACATATGTGCAAGCTGATCATTCGACATAATAGGCCACTAGACTTTCCTTGAGCAACAAAACCAAGTGGTTGCTGATAAACAACAGTTGGCCGAAAGGTCACCGGAAAAATTTGAAAATAGCGAGACTATGCCGATTCCACACTACAAAATAGTTTCTAAAACACCGCCAGAAAGCAGAAACTTTTCTGGAAATTACTGTTCACGCAGGTAAGTCACCGTTCACGCCGGAAAAAATAAAAATTATCAGAATTTGATGTAATTTATATGGGTAGGTTTGGAATCACTGGATGAGTAAGTTGTCCGGAAGAAGTTTTTTCAAAAAGTGGCCGGAATGGCTCACATTCGCCGGAAAAGTTATTGTAGCTTGCTGGAACCCTAGTTCTGGTAGCACGTGGAGACGCGTGAGGGATTTTCTGCCGGAGTGATTGACTGGGGTTTTTGTCACCTGACTTTTCCGAAGAAGATGGAAGTGTTGGTTTTTGCACAACACTTACCGATGAGGAGATAACGCAAATCAATCTTGAATCGTCAACCGGAAAGGCGCACAGTGACTGACTTTTCTGTTCTGATGGGACTGAGATTTCTGGGGTTTGATCGCACAAGGGTTTCGGATCTGATGGCGGTACTGGTATATGCACAATACCTCTGTAGCAGTGATGAACCCGGGAAACAAGACGAAGTTGCCGGAAAATTGCACGGCGATGAGATCTTTCTTCCGGATGTCGCTGGAATGACGCACAACAATAATTTTCTCACTGAAGCTCAGATACCATGTGAGAATGCACGGGAGAAAAATTTATTTATTAACAATGATACAATGAGCCCTATATATAATACATATTCTACTCCTACTACATATTGGATTGGGACATATTCTGCTCCTACCACATATGGGACTAGAACAAATTCTACTCCTACTACGTATATGACTAGGATTATCTACACATAACTATCTAACATCAATTGCCTCCGGTTGAAATGTTGGGATGTAGCTTTTTGCAGGGGGGGAACAAAAAGGCACAACATTAACGCTTCATTGAGATCATGATCCATAAGATTCTTAGTTCATGCTTCGGAAGTAGATAGTAGCCTATTTTACCAATTCCACCATCCTAACAGAGCATTTAACCACATAGAATAACACCATTCTAAGTGATAACTAATTTGCAGAATCCATGACGGATATCCATTTTAGTCATTTAATAATGTGAGATGAGATTTTATCACATACCATATAAATCAACTTTGCCTCAATTACTCTAACCAAATACTGAACCGCACATTGATATGATCTTATCAAGAAAGTAGATAAGCAACTTTGAAATGTTAAATGCCTAAATGTAATAATCCACCTTTTTTGTTGCCATTTGAATTGAATCAAAGTCACATGAATATCTGGAAAAATAAAATGGAGATAAAATATCTAAAGTTCCAAATTTATCTGCACTTTATTTGCAATCCTCTATAACTCGAAATAAAGATATGCTGATATAAATTTTTCCGTGTAAGGAAAGCAAAGTCCAAAGAAAGATTAATCCTAGCTGTTTCACATTTTTTGGCTAAGAAAGATACTGCGTTCTCAGATTGGTAAACGCAAGCAATCCACGTATTAGGTGACATTAACAAGAAGATAAGAGCTTGAGTGGAGAATTAAGTATGAGATGCATCAAAACCAGAGGGAAGCTACATAATCTGCAACAGCATACGATACCTTATCCTCAATGGAGGGGCAATATCGAGGGCCCTTAGCTTCCACCCACCCTCCGTAAGTAGGAGTCTCATGCAAATTATCTCTAATTATCTGATGAGTACTCTTTGTGGTACGTGTAAGGTAGCAACACATCTGTTCCCTTTCTATATGATAATTAGTATCAAAACTGAACCAGCTTACCTGAGGATTAATGATAAATATTAGAATACATGAATGTAGGCATGAGCATGTATACATACATAGAAATTACTGATGAAGGAAATCTAATTATTTTTCAAGTGAACCTTATCAACAAATACATAACATAGACAAAACAGAATTTCAAGCCTCCCAAATTTTAAACCCTCATGAGACAAAATGAAGGCAACAAGCAAAATAAAAGCTTACAAGTAGCTATCTATCAAGAATGCAAATCCCCCCACGTATACATACTCTTCTATACAGTCCATCCTACAGAAGAGGGGAGATCTGGATATTGTGTAACTTGTATCATATAGCACATAGGACCCGGAAACACATGCTTGCAGTTTTTATTACATATAAAGTTGCTCATAATAAATTGGTTTTTGCTCGGACAATTTAAACAGATATTATTATCAGTAAAAATCAAGAAATAACTGTCGGACTAGGGAAACAAAGTATTAAATGTTGACTATCAGAGTACTTTTGCAGGAGATCCTAAATCAGATCTAGGCTTAGAGATATCCAGAAATTTAGAAAATAACAAGTTTCTCCATGAGACAACTCAAACAAAGATCACATGCACTTGGAAGTGATCCTAGCTTATACAACATACTACTTAATAAAAGAAATTTGCAACTCATCCACAAAATACATTGTCATATGTAATATGCCTACTGGATTGCACAAGCAATTCAGCATGGTTAGAGTCGCATAGATGACACATAAGTATACAGAACCTACATATTAAGAATAAGCAGAAGGACCTCTTCATCGCCATATTGGGGCTCCAATCCTGAGAAATCTACAGTACGACTGTCCACACGTGCAGGAGTTCCTGTTTTTAGCCTATCAGTCTCAAAGCCAAGGCGCTGCAAGTTTTCTGTTAGACCAACGGAAGCTGATTCACCGGCTCTTCCTGCAGGCATTGAAGTTCTACCAACCCAAATTTTCCCACTCATAAAGGTCCCTGTCGTCAGAATCACTGAAGGTGCATAGAAGTTCATGCCAAAGAAAGTACAGACCCCCTCAATGTTGTCATTTTTCCCCAACAAAATATCTGTTACCATTGCCTCTCTAATAAAGAGGTTTGAGGTGCTGGAAATGGGAGCCACGAGTTAAGCACAGAAGATATGAGAGCCACCAAATATGTTTGAGATACACAATTTCAACATAATGGAATAACTTGCAAAGTTGCACCAATGCACAAGGAATTAATTGATTTCCTCTATACTTCTCAGTTTTCCGGAAAGTAAATAGATGTTTATAGCTCAGTTCCTTTTTTTAATACCTAACTTCTTGCAGGGGTACATGTAAATATATTTCCAATAGTTCGTTAAAGGGAGACATTGTGCAACTTTAGCTGAGAAGCATATAAGATTTTACTAGAAATAGCATCCAAGATGCCAACATAGTATACAAAGTGATTCTTGAACCTCTATAGTGTGGACCAGAATTTACTAATCTATCATCTTTATTTCTTCATGAATAATAGATCAAATCTTAAGAAAAAATTTCATAATCATATAAAACAAGACCTATTTAGCACTCATAAAATACTTATTTCACTGTGTAGTGCAAAATGAATGCAGGATAAGTGGTAACTGCAGTAGCATGACAAAGAAAAGTTACTGAATGTATTATGGCCTTAATGAAGTTTATCTACCCACGCGAAAGTAGCATTTTTTTAAAGCATACAAAGTTTTACTAGAAAGACAAGTATCTAAGATGCCGGCATAATATATACAAAGTGGTCCGTGGACCAGATATTACTAAGAATTTATCTGTATTTCTCCAAGGACAATCAATCCAAGCTTAAGAAAAAAGTTCATAATCATATAGAACAGGACCTATTTAGCACTCATAAATACTTGTTTCATTGTGTAGTTCAAAATGAAACATAGGGTAAGTGGAAACTGTAGTCGCATGACAAAGACAAGTTACTCAATATATTAATGCCTCGATGAAATTTATCTGCCCCATGTTCGTAAAAATTTTAAAGCAGCTTAATAAGCACATATGTCCATGATGTTAAAATCTTTGATCAGCTTACTGATGAGCACAAGTCATTCTTGATAACAATTGTATGCTGTGTCGGGACAATAAACTTACCTCTCAACAATCTTTTTCATTTCTATTGCATATTCTCTCTTATCTGTCTGTGCACGTAACGCCCAAACAGCAGGGCCCCTAGAGATGTTAAGAACACGTTTCTGCAAATAGCACCTATTGGAAAGATAAGCTTTCATCAGTCTCTTTTGAACAACAATAGGAGGATTTAAGAAAATATAACTCCAAGAGCATCATTATACAAGAATAGGCATCATTAGATATCTAATTTTTTGATAGAATGATCATAAATAAACCCAATTTGTTGCTACAATGTTAATTAAAACTCAACCTTGAGGCGAAAAAGACATCCTCTCCATTTCCTAATTACCTTCGAAACTTGTTCCAAAAATGTTTTACTGCTGACCANGTGCTGACCAAGCTACTTTATTCATTGTTTTCTTTTTTCCCGGATCCGCATTTATCTTAGTTCTTCAGTTATTATTTCTTTCCAACATACATCAATTATAAGCCCTCCAGGCTGGTTTATAGTATTTTTGTCCCCGATATTTTCTAAGAGCTTAAACTTGATGCTAAATTTAATCAGTTTCCTTTTTGTTTCTCATTTTTCCTGAGTTGAAAACAAAAACGCTTCCATGCTGGTTACCAAACAAGAAAACAGATGAATTTTTAATAGCAGCTGGAGTACTAAGGTTTACCT